AACTCACAACAACATCATCAACGTCATCTGTCAAATTTTAATGATTCATGCCCAGATTGTCTTTTCTACAGAGGAATCAAACACTGTGTTCATTGTAACAAAGGAGACTTTTTAACAGAAGCAGATTACAGTGCTTTGACTACTGTTGTTTTAGATGCAGCACCGTGGACAAGAAAAACATTAAAGTAAAGTAAACAAACGTGAGAGAGAGGTAGGAAGCTGCAATCTCATACAAAGACATCTCCTGAAAACTAAACCAACATAAACAGCATGAGTTAAATAGAAATGATGAGGGAGAAAAAGAAAGAAGACAGGAAAAAAGCTAGTTAATACAGTTATTTCTCATTCCAGCTGTCCAACACTGTCAAATATAAGTTGTATAAAACACAACTGACCCATCAGCCTCCAAACAGATGCGAAGAAACCTCTCAGTCCTCTCTGTGATGAGATTTTCTTTCCCGTCTCGCGTCCAGGCTCGCGGTCTGGATCTGTCCCGTGTTCGTGCCTGCGTGGTGGTGGCGGAGGAGAGGCCCAGGATGTCGCTCACGCACTCCTTCTCTAAGCTCTTCAAAGACCTCGGCCTTCACCCACGATCTGTCAGCACAGCCTTCGGCTGCAGGGTCAACCTGGCCATCTGCCTGCAGGTAAAAACAGATGGAGGAACACTGCAGCTGCTGCGCACTGAGTCCACAGCAACATGGAAGATTTTAAACAGAGCGTTGCAATGAAACACTTCAACATCAGCCATCATACTCTACTACTCAAAAAAATTTATAACTTTCTTTAAGGTTATGTCACTTTAAAACAAAGGCAAAGTGCTAGTTCACAGCATTATGATCAATATATAAAGTAATTTTATTTACATACTGTTTAGTCACCGTTAAGGTTGCTGAGTAGGTCTGGGGCACGGACTGAAATACGTCCACCAGTATCGAGAGCTGAAACTTGGCATGTAAAATATGGTCAGATATGAGATCTTGGTTGTTTTCACCTCTGAACAAACGGCTACAACCAGTGTGGCTCCTTGAAATCACTCTCACACTCACTGTGTCTGTGTCGTGATTGGCTGCAGGGCACTTCAGGGCCGGACCCCACAACTGTGTACGTGGACATGAGAGCGCTGCGACATGACAGGTACCGCAGCCGTCCTGTCAGCTTTTGTTTTGAGTCATTTTCTCTCCCTTCGCTGTGTGCAGAATTGTGACATTTCCACATTTGTGTGTTTCAGGGTTCGTTTGGTGGAGAGAGGTTCTCCTCACAGTCTGCCGTTAATGGAGTCTGGAAAGGTGAGACAAGACTAAGGGCTAATCTGTGATTGCAGGGTGCGTTAATTCAAAAATATAAAGCGCCCACATTGTCAAAAAGCCCCAAACTGATACAATTAAACATCCATTTAATTGGATTTCGCTCCCCTGGGACCTGTCTGAGAAGTTTGTTGAACACTATGATTCAATGACTTCGTAAGTACAACCTGAGGAGGTTCAAAGTCACAATGAAGAAACTACTCAGATGCTCTAAAATGGCAGCGAATTGAATGACAGAAGATTGGACTATTTCTGCATCCTCCCACGTTCGGTGAGTCAAACCAGACAGCAGGTTTGAGTCCATGACGAGCCCTCGAACATCCATCCTGCCTGTCTGTGTGCGGATGTGTGGGTGAAGAAGGGATCACATTCATCAGATGGTTGTCTAAAATGTTGCCTTTATATTGGTAAACATACATCCGATGTGATGTGACTGTGTACTGCCACACCCTGAAGTACACTTCTGCATCACTGCAGCAAGGTGAGAGGTCAGCAGAAACAAACATTTCAGCCACTAAAAGTAGGATTTCTGTCCCGTTATCACGAGAAAACAAACTTTTTTCCCCCAAAATACCGAGATACTTAACTCCTGCTTCAGAAATAACAGCAGAGGAAAAACAAAAGGCAACCAGTCATCAAATCCTGGCAGATGGTGGAGGAAGAAAATATTATAACCTGCAGTATAACACTCGCCCACATTCAGCAGATACAGTCATGTCAGTTTTATTTATAGAACACTTTTAAAAACAACAAATGTTGGGTGCAGCTTATCGTGTGTTTGCATCTTGTACATTTTGTTTCCGTCGTCATCCATAACTGAACAGAAGGCAGTGGTGTACGAACTCAACGTCCTTTTTGTCTTTGTACTGTTGTAGAATAAAAGATGCACCGATATACAATGTCACACTACAGCCAACCAGACTCCATTGACAAAACTAGTCATTTTACCCTGCAGATAATCATAAAACACACTTCAACATAGGCTAGATACAAACTAAAACTCATCAAACACATCTTTGTTAGTCTTTCCATCAAACACCAAAGCTGGTTTGGTCGAAATAAACATTAATTCACAGAGTTAGATGAGAAAATAGCGGTGAAATCCTTGGAGACAAATGCGCCTGTCAACCTACGCCCACTGACAAACCCAGATAATTATTCTAAGACAGCATTATAGAAAGGATCCCT